ATCCATAAATGCCAGAAATGCTTGATATTTGATGATTTTTTAGCACAAAAATGACAACCATTTGGCCATTTTGAATAGGACCGTCAAACCAATATATCTGTCTATCTATGACATGATGTATAATGAATATTTAAAATTTGAACATAATCAGTCAAAACAAGTTGGAAATATGGGTCTAGAAGCCATTCATTAAAACAAAATGGCCACCAGTCGGCCATTTTGAATGTTATTTGAAAAACAAAATTATTTGCATCAAGGTCCCATAATGTCTAATGTATATATCAAGTTTGAACAAAATACATCTGTAAATAGCTGAGAAATGCTTGATTTTTATGATTCTTTAGCACAAAAATGGCCGCCATTCGGTATGATATCATGTATGATGTATGTGTGAAGTTTGACTGTGATTGGTCCAGGCATTTATAAGATGCAGGTCCGGACACACGCACAGACGCACACACAGATGTCAAAACATAAGTCCCTGTTTTCGGACTGCGTCCGAACGGGGACTAATTAAGACGTATTTTTCAAATACAGTGTTGCGTTACTCTCTGCGAAAGATTGAGTAGACATCTTGTTATTGCACAATTAATTAAATTGCGACATTTTACCGGTAATGCTCAAAAGTGAGAAAAACAGCTTTGAGCATTGTAGTTAAATCCATATGTTATGTAATCCATAAAACCTATGTTATTGATTGTGTATAGAGTAATAATATCAAGAATGAGTGACCATATTCAAACCCAGCCTCGTCATTGTTTTTACTACAAACAGGACACTGGGCACAAAACACTCACAAATAACATTTTATGAACAAAATAAATGTAAGAACGAAGAAAAACGAAGGCCATATTTTGTTTGTGTGCTTCAAATGGCCTATACCGCCATATACAGTTCCATTTTTCCCTTGAAGATAGACCTTCCTAACAGTCAACAAGCTGACTTTGGAAGGATTCTGTTTTGACACAGGACCCCAACAAAATCAGTTCTGTTAGAGGGCACACTGACAGGGAATGTAGCAAATAACATGCACTTGTGTTGTTTTTGTACTTCCTGTTCACTTCCCATAAACAGACCTGATTTTTTCACATAAAAATAACGAAACTTCAAACATTTATGAAAAGTTACAATGACTGTGTCACTGTCTTTCACATTAGATTGGCATCAGTGAGTCTGTCAGAATGGGTCAGTCTGTTGGAGACAAAGTTTCCAACAAAATAATTTGTATCTGGTAGGTTACCCATGTTGGAACACGTAGCAGTCCAATCAGTCATGTTGTTATGTATAGATGAGTTACAATGACAAGGAGGATGTTTCTCTCTTATAATTCTGCAGTCAGTTTGCACTGCAGCATGTTGCATCAAAATAATCTGTCTCCAAGCATTGTATTCATTGTCATGGATTTTAGGTTACACCAAAGGGGCAGTTCAAAAGTGTTACTGTAAAGCAAAGCTCAATAATAAATTTACCACTATCTTGATTCTGGCCACCAATGGTTAAGTTATAAAACAAAAATCAAGTTGGAAACTGATGCATACACTAACATCGTGAACGCACAAAAACAACTTGAAGGTCAAACAGAAAATCCAGTGTACAGATCTTGACAAGAAATCTAGCCAGGAAACAATTAATACAAGCTGCTGGGAATAAATTCACACCAGGATTCATCTAGTGCTGCACTAATCTGTTTAAAACCTACTTGAAAAAAGATTATTATTAAGATTAAAAAAATGCTTATATACCTTAACAATGACCCGCTTCTATCCACTAAGTGTGGTATTTATTCTAATTTGGTGTATACTAGTATTATTATAAAAGTAACATCTACTGATTTCCATGGCTACATACTGTAAATAAAGTCACACACTCATACTCTCAGTTCTGCTTCACATACTTATTACTATTGACTGCACTTTTTAGTATCAGACTTGGTACATGTATATTCAGAGAAGTGCCACACATTTATATTGTTGGAAAAATGCAACCCCGCATTAACTACTTTTTTGAAAATGTGTGGTCCGCAATTGGTTCCTTGGATATGGTTGATTTCCCTACTCTTACATACATGGGAACAGGGTAAAAGATTATTATCTTCACAACAATTGATGGCCATTTACATGCAAATTATTACACATATACACATAATATTTTGGATTATTTTCCCAATTATTCAACATTAACATTCCTCTTAGACAATCATGTCTATTCTCCAACACTAGAAATACTATACTGTTTTACCTTCTGTTTTTAATAGTACGCAATTTACGTAATTTTGTAACCAATCAAAACAAAAAAGTCAATCGTACCAGCTGGCCCCATTTTTCCTTTTTGTGCGTTTGTGTAAGCGATTCTTATTTAACTAAACTGAGAAAAAGTGATTGTGACTATTTTGATTGTAAATAGTATAAACATTCATATAAAAGAGAAATATTGTGTAAATCGTGATTTCAGTCCATCTGTCAGCTGTGAACCTGAGTTCACGTGTTGGTTTCGTCATTTCAGTCATGATCGCCCACACGTGTGTTCATTAATCGCAGTTTCAGAAATACTTACGAGTTAAAATCTTCATTTTTTGCCTTCTTTCCCTTCTTTGGCTTACCCATTTTAACCTCATGTGGCACGGTATAGTTTAAAGTATTAACGATAGCGATTCACGTTCCTTTGGTGTGGCGTGTCTTCGATTTATACAAATATGATTGCACCACTTCGGAAATAGCGGAACAGGAAGTCTGACTGGGAGCTTCAATATATCCAATAGGTAGGTTAGGCTATGTCGTGTCACTTGATAAGAAATGTCAACATTGAACTTTTTTACCATCACATGGGCACTGTTTAAAATTATATTTAACACAATTACACAATTTACTAGTTGTTTTGTACCAATGCAAATCGATTATCATCTAAGCGAAGTCAATTTTGAAAAAAATACCCTGTAGTTAATAATAGTTTCTTCTATTTCTTCCAAACACTAAGAAGCAATTTCATCGGACAATCAATCGCAAACTCATTTTATTTTACTTTCTGTGTGAATGGTAATATAGCGAATTCATGTTTCCGAAATTTAGCACAATTCAGACAAACAGACCAAAATAGTCACAGACAATTTACCGTCCTTCGACCACCGGCCCTCAACGATGATCTAACAACTAGCAACAACCCGGAAGTAAACTACCGTGTTTACGTTCCCAGGTGACCCACGCAGCTGACTGGAAACTTTTCGTGGACTGTCACATAGCCGGCAAATACGAACAAATTTGGACTTAGTGGTTCACTGAATGAATCATGGTATTTTCGAGGAATTTTCACTTAGCCGCCTGTATGCTGATATTATTTACTGCCATTACACATCGAGGTAAGTCTTGTACATCGTCAAACAAACATACACTCACATGCCGCAGATGCTAATACTAAGATGTGAGTAATAACAGTAATTTGTCAATAAATTATTATACGTGAATTTCTGCAAAGACAGTGTGAAACACACGTGGCATTGTTGCCTTGTTAATTAATTGTTTGATAACTTTGGAACATTTTTACAACTATTTGTTATCTGTTATTTGTTATCATCATTGTGAACTTGAAACGCCCCTTTTGATCACATGATTGATTTTTTTTTATTCCGCTGCATCATCTTTTTACTGCACAATTTGTGTTTAATAAAGAGACAGACACTAACTACTTACATGTACCATATAATCATTGTCTGTCCATTTGGTTACTATCAGAACAGAATTACAAGAAGTCACTTTTTGATAGCAGAGATTAAGAAGTGGCGTAAATCATCTTTACTTCACTGTCCATCCAAGAATAATGCGGAAAGTTGTTTAGCATGTTTTAAATAATTTTGTTCGATATGACATCTCATAAATAAATACATCTTAATAAATGAATGGTGATTTTCTTTTAACTGCAGACCTGCTGAATTTTGAACTCTTAATTTTTTGTTCATAGCACAATGGTGAAATATTGATTTTTCAGAAGGGAATATGACATTGAAATATCTTTAATTCATCAAAATTTACCATCATCTTGTATAGCACATTTTTAAGCATGAAAACAAATATTGAAATACTTTTACACTTTGAATCTTGAACAGTGTTTTCACGCCTATAAAATGCAATAACTTTGTTTGTTTTGTTTTTATGTTCAATTTTATGCATAACCAGGGATCTAGCACTGACCGGAAAATGGTATTTTTCTGTTCAATGAAATAATAAAAACACAGTCCCTAAATTACCTGTACATGTAGGTAAATCTGGGATGCTTGCTTTGGAAATTTGCTAATGAGTGCTTCTATGTTTGCCAAACAAATTTTACCCTAATTTTTTAATCAAGGTTCTCATTGGTACAAATTATTGAAAACTTATAAAAACTACTTAGTGGTATAGTGATAATATCATAGATGTTGTGCAGTATTGAAAGTATTTGGCTGATATGTTTTTTACCGAAACTGCTTTGACTAATACCACATCATCTGATTTGCACAATTTTAATGATGAACCCTTGCAGATCGTTTTAGGAGAAGCTGTATTTGTCCTCAGTTAAATTTAATGATTTGTTTGGGCATGCCATTGAGCTGGATCTATCAATCAGCGTTCCTGTAACAACAGCTTGCATTAATTTAAAATTTCAACCAATAGATTCTGCTGTCTTATATCACATCATAGCTTAAAATTTTGCATTTGATTTTCCGAATAAATGAACCTTTGCTTGGATTCACTGTTTTACCTGTAAATGACCATTCCTACCGCATCAGCATGAAATCTCAAAGCTGACCATGAGAAAGTGGGAGTACCAAGACCAATGACAATTGTGGAGAGCACAGCCCATATATTTGGAATGTGTACTCGTTATTGTTATAGAATACATAAATTTGACGTGGGGAATACTGACGTGTGCATTATTATATGATTTGATATTTCCCTTAATTGCTTACCAAAAATAGATCTTAATGAGCAAATATTAAATTTTCTTGGATTTCTGCCAAAATCTGTTAAATTTACAATTTTTATTGCATACATAACTAGGATTAGCATAGAATTCATGACTG